TCCGTTTGTTTGTGCACCCACTCCTCCATCGTTCCATGTAAAGCCACAATCTACCTCCAGGAATTCCATTCAAAGGGATAACCTCCATCGACTGTTTGTAGAATCGTTGCATCTGAGTTCATCTCGTTTAGAGAAGATCACACTACAACTGATCAGTCTGTCATGGGAGGTAGGTTGCATAAATTCCCACATAAGCTGCGCTTTATTTCTATTCAATTTATTCCACACATTATCCCCGTTCATGGACAATATGGCTAGCACGCTTAGGCGTTAGTTACTATTGGATACTGCTGTCCCTTTCGTCGCTCAGTGTTGAACACTATAAAGGAGGCGGAATACTGTCCTGTAGACGATGGTTTTGCATAGGTGACTCACATTCAAAGTAGCTGAATATGTTCCTCACGGTAATCCTGTGCTACACATCAATCGATTCAGTCTTAGGTTTTGGGTAACTCTTTTTTCACCAGTAATCTTTAATCTTGGGGGCTGCGACACGAGACATAGTACTTCAGTGCATGAGTTATACCTAGTTATTTTGTAGGGACTTTTAGATCTCCCTATTCTGAATTACAATGCTATTTAATAAACCCTACTGAATCGGGAAAAACTCGAAATGTAAAAAAGAAATTACTGAATTGGAATCCGTCTTTTACTTTTAACAGTTAACAAACCATTAGAAATTTAGGACCCACTCCAACAGCCAAGCATTCCTTTTTCACAAGTCATCGGTTCAAAACCGAGTCAATTATAGTATTCTGGAAGAAGACGGTAGAACAAATCAAGGTAACTCAACGCCTAATATGGAGAAACCATCCTAGGAATTAATGATCAAAAATTACCCGTTCTCTCTTCCGTTCCATATCTTGCCTTCTCTGGTCGAATTCCTTGATACGCTCCCTTAATTTTCCTTTGCTTGCGTCACACTCGACTTCCATAGCGCCGGTGTGCACTGACTCGGTCGAAGAGTGGCCTGCCTCCGCGCTCGTATTTAGCATTATTGTTCGTTGCTTCATAAGCCGTTTGGAATATATGTTACCAAGTTCGATAATTTTCTGCTTTTCCTACAAGAGAAATTAATAAGATTGCCCCTGATGGACAATATATGTGCTACATTCTCACATAAAACGGACTACCCAATAGGTTTTTGATAAACAATGGTTGACGCTTGCTGCACAAAAAAATAAACAATCAAATTCTTTCGGGATAGGCTAATGACGAGTTGTTTTCTGCTACAGAAACTGTGGCGTTTAAATCTGACATCCCGCCGTACGCGATTCCAACGATTCACAAGTAAACATGTGCTCCAGGCACATTTTGCGATGATGACGAAATTTATCCGCTGTTTAAATTTCGGGATGGCCATCCAAAAGTATGTGCTCGCCATTGGTCGCTGCGGATGTGGCCTGGAGTAAAATTTACTCGAGAAACGAAGTGGTTCGATCAGTGTGGCGAACTCCTTTGAGTGCGCAAACTTCAAGAAGGACCTTGTAAGCCACATATTTATTTTTATGTGTAAATGATCTGTGTAAATGATCTGGTGGTTGTCCGATCCACAACCAGGGCTGCCAAAGTCTATGAATGATTCCTTGTCCTGCCACAAGTAATGAGGTTTTCCGACAGCTGCACTACGTTGGCGGTAAAAACAATCGATTTACACAGACTGCTTTCATTTTAGCACACTTTTTGCGATTTCATGGCATTTGTTTGTTTTTTAGTCACAGGGTATTGAGGAAGAAAAGCCTTACGGACTAGGGCTTGTGCTGAATGAACTGTGTTTGTCAAGTGCACGAAAACATGAATTCGAAATAGCTTCTATATTGTCCGCCAAATGCTACTGATCTATACTATATACTATATTGGTCTATAGACACTTATGAGCACTCGCTCATAAATCTCGTGAAACGCTCAAGCGCAGAACAGGCTAGCTGGTAACAGAGATATTTTATCTAGCACCCGACAATTAAAATTCCAGTAGTTTCAAATAAAAAAATAGGTGAGTGACGACATCCGCCAGCTAGTTTTGTGGCTGCGGTGCCAGAAATGATTTTCATCCCCACTAGCGACACGAATGGAAGAAACCAAGGTACAACCAACCATAGTGCAATATGACATTGGTTTGCAAGCACTGTATCCGCCGGTCCACCGGAGGTAGACAAAATTAGTTCCAGCTATCACGTTACCTCTGTGTGAGAATGTGAGCATATTGAGCGTTCGGAGTGCAAATGCCACTTGAAACCACGTTTAACGTTAATTACCTCAAGGATGAAACAACGCATTCCATTATAGCTTCAAATTAGCTTTTTGGTGATGTGGAATGTCATTCTAGGCGAAGCAGACGCAGTTGGGTCCACAATAAAGTACCTGGGTTGCAGACCCAAGAAGATGCAAAAGATTTTCTTTAACCTAGCTGATTGCTTACTAATAATGAATAAGTGCATAAATTGGGCCGTGAAGTTCGCCGTGCAGATTACTTCACCATTGTGTTACTCAGCTGGAAATGTTGATACTCCTCAGGATTCCCTCTTTATTCACCCACCTGGGGTCTATGCCTGCTTACAGGGTAGCCAGGGAGTTCCACGTGCTACTCACTGAGAAATTATTATATTTGTACCCCCATTGAGGGGAACTACACCGAAAATCTCAATAGGAGGGACGATCCTGAAACGCATACGGGTCCACTAGTGCAGAACAAGGTCGAACAGAAAATCTTGGTCATATTTTTTTGCACAAACATGGACGCGAAAAAGAAATGACTTGTCATTTTACCCTACAACACTGTCCACGAATCATGGATGATTTACGGTTGCCTAATGCACCGTTACATCCCTTTGATCTAATAAATTTACATCTTTACTCCCGCATTTTAAAGAATCTCCCCTTGCTATACAGCTCTTGCATAGAACACAGTGCAAAATCTTCTGGATTACCTTCAGTCACCCGACAAGCAACAGGTCATCGCATCAGTCGATTTTCCTCCTATCAAAAGAATCAACAAGACTCACTGCTTATTAGGCGTGATGAATCCCGTTAGGGAATGATGGTCTTTTATGACTGGACTTTTCGGGATCCGACCGTAAATTATTGCCTGCACGCTTGATATGACACCATATCAGTCAATCTCTCTCCTTTCTCGGTACTCTTTTTCATCTCTGTTTTGCATTCATGTTTCGCTTTTAAAGGACAGGCTTTGGACTATTCACGCCTGATGTGCATGGCAATCATGTTACTTTAATTACACTCTGAACGGACCAGAGTCCTCCGGACAACCAAGAAAATGTCTTGGTTGTGTTTAGCAAGAACCCCGGTCAAATGGAACTACAAAGGCCTTAAGCCTGTTAGACCAATTATTAACTGTTTATGAATGGTTGCTTTGTAAAATTATCGTAAACGTTCCACAACGTGCTGGCTGGAATAGACATAAACGGGAATCACCCATGTTCATGATAGAGCCATTCTATTTGTCAAACGTCTGCGATTCCGTTGAACGCATGCGTGTAACATGGGTTATTTGAACCAATCAGGATTTGTTAAAATTGGACAGATGTCATTCCTCTTCAGACTCTGGGTTGAGCGTTGAAATTTCGGCTCTTTCGGTAAGACTATCATACTGCTTGTGGCTGAGTGGTAGCAAGTGACCGTGGTGATTGTGAATACCGGAAATTCGCATTCTCCTTTTTATGGCAGAGAATAAGAATTACAACTAGTACGCCGGGGTAACACTAGTATCATAATTGCCATTGTCTGATCTCCAAAAGTTTTGATGCATGCAATCTCAGACAAGATTTCGCCGAGGGCAATAAGACGGAATGTATTCACCCAGAGTTCAAACCGGTGAGTCTAATGGGCTCTCGTAGGGCACCGTTTGGTTGGTTAACTGGTCATGCTGCAATGAGGTCGCACAATATTTTCGGGCGAAGTGAATGGTATGGTCAACGAATATAGACAGCTCAGATTACAGCTTACCTGAACTGTTTGTTCTAGTTCATGTATTCTATCTAGGAGACGCTGGCACGTATCTTTCATATCCTTCTGTGCCTTAGACGATCGTAAACTCTCAAATCGTTGATTTTTCTCCAGATTTTCTGCATAACGCTCCAAATTCTGAAACGTTTTATGAGACAGACATCCGATTCTGGGAATAACTTCAATTCTTTGTTAGATGAATTACAAAAACGAGAACAACCTGCGTATGCTGATATTTCTCATCTCCAGTTCTGAAAGAAATCATCCACAACTACTTTTGCAAGATTTATATTTGCTAAAACTCAACTGCACTACCCAAAGACAACCGATCACACTTCTCTTGTGATAATCAAGGAACATAGTATACTAAGGAGTACATTTTCACCTATTTACCTCCTTAAATTCCATTCACTGAGTGGATGAATACGAGAACGTGGAACTTGCTTTTTAGTTTCATTGTTGTATTGTGAGGTTTTTAGGCATTCTCTTGTGTTTTACGTCTGACAAACGCCTCGCCTCAGTCAGCGTTACAGTCATTCTGCATAACACTGTGCTAATCACGTGAGCTTTGTTATTTAGTCGAATAATACTACTGGTGGTTCACTCTGATTTGTGTCTAATTTTTCAGAAACACTAACATGCGGCAAATGGGTACATCGGCTACAAAGTTCTATTCAACAGGTTCGAACCAAGTGCAGAAAATCATGGTTACCATAAATTCACAACAGTGTGGAAGAAACTGTTAAACTGATGTGTCTTAACTACGAATGCGCCAGGACTTTAGAAAAAAGCCTACATTTCGCTCAATAAAAACCCAGCTGGAAATCACTAGCTGTGTGTTCCAAACATACTTTCAAGAGCTTTCCACGTTCTTCTGCTTCAACACGGAGTTTTTGTACGGTTTGCATGAGTTCTTCCCGTTCCAAAAGGTTCTGTTTCTCAGCCAACTTCCGTAAATGTCTCAGCTCAAACAAAGCCTTTTCATTGGCGGCCTCAGCATCATGACGCCGTTGTTTTTCTATTTTCAACACATCCTTCATGCGGCGAATTTGTTCGCGAAACACCCGTATTTCCTCAAGATGACCATTGATTATTTGGGGGAGTTCAGCCTCTCTTCCGTCCAACTGTGACGTTTAAAAAAAAATTGACATTAACTGCTGTACTTGTCTTCTGCTCCAAATAAAAGTGATTAATTTAGCCAATCAGATCTCATTTACTGGTCATTGTTAACAAACACCAATTGCAGTCCAGGACCTTTTAGAAGAATTATTGGCTGGATGTTGAGATCTCACAATATCTAGGAGGAGATGGTTTCTAGTGCAGCCGCTATTTGGAAATGCGATGTACCCTGTAAGGATATCACGTAGTGGATAAATAGCATCTCATAAAAGGCCAAGTCTAGCCATTTCGTGAGAGGGTCACTTCAAAGGGAGATAACTGCAACTGTGGGCCTCAAAAGTTTAGTTATCCATTGCTCAGTTGCTGACTTCTATATAGCGGCATTCGAAGTCAACCAAAGCCAAAGATGTGGCGTCTCTCTCTTAAGAAATGTAGTTGTTTGAGATCAATCTGCCTTTCACCTTGAACATGAGTTCAGAGTTCACTGTTTTAGGATACCTGTATGAAACTTATGATTAAACTGGATAATTCGCGGTGATTTCTCACGCAATGTCAGACTTTTGAAAACAAATAGACCACAGGACCGAAACTTCTGACTTTGGACTACTGGACGATGCCATCAAGTTTGGAATTCACCCCAATATGAAGCTCAACTATTGCTAACTCACGCCTTTGGGGGCAAATAAACCAAACATCACCCTGGAGGTGTGGCCCACCTTCCCCGAGAAATAGCAAACGTGGGATGAAATCAGAAGAATATAAATCAATATAGCTGAAACGGGGCTCCTCGAAAAAAAACATCAACTGTCATTTGTTTTTTGACAACCAAGTTGTTCGGAATGGCTCTTAACTTTCATTACTCTGGACCGTCATAAAGTTTATGGATATTTTCTAAAATAATTCACTTACTGGAGCAGTCAACTAGTTTGTGTGTGGTGGTAATTTTCCCACAAAAGGGCAAAGTTGGTCCGAAAATGACCCACACTTGGCATCATGTTTCCCAGGCAGAGGGTTATATTCCACTCAATCTAACACCATCTGTGTCAAATCTAATTGTTCACAGTCTCATCTTTCACACAACGGCAATGAAATGTATCAAGGCGATGGGCCCTTAAAATGCAAATCTTTCAAAATATTTTACGGCCCATCTACTCTGTCGAAGTTTTACTTTAGCTATTGGTTGCTATCAGATTAAGCTTGCGACTTCAGACAAACCAGCTTTTTAGTCAGATCTTAGGCCGTACAAAAAGTTTCTCTTTGTGTCTGCTTGCGTCACCAGTTGGCCAGTCACAGTCGACAATCAGGAAGTGCTTTCTTTGAAACTACCTCGCCAGTTGTTGCATAGCGCACCTTTTAGGCTTTCGGCTAACTCAGTCAACCTGGTACAGAGAAAGCCGGCTACCTTGAAATTACGCATTGCTCTCGATACCGAGGTTTTTTACTTAAATCGTGTCTTGAACACTGTGAAACACGTACACAACCATGAAGTTCACCAAGTTCGACGGTATAGACATCTGTGAAAATCGGTAAAATGCCAATTTTCATTTATTTAATACTTCAAACTCACTTTTTCTAGTGCTTTTGCCTGCCAGTAGTTTTGTTCTCGTAGAAACTTATTGTCATTTCCTAGTTCTCGTATCCTTCTGCGTAGTTCTTCAATCTCACATTGTTGTTCATATATTTTCTGTTGTCTAACTACGATAACTTGTTGCAATGTGAAGCGCTTTCGCCGTTTCTCACGAAGCTCGTGGCGCCTGGCCTTCTGCATTGATGGAGAAACTACAAGAGCTCTCATAAGGCGATATGATTGCTCACCATCAACTCTGTGTTCTGGGTTATTTTCCACAAGCTCATTGGTTGGAAGATTATCTCCCGGATTATCACCGTGGGGATGTGGCATTCTAGAGTGTCGAATTTAGTTCGAAATTGTCGACACTAGTATTCCGTAGAAAGAGTCGATGTCAACCACGGTGTTACAGGACACCAAAGTCCCCACTATTTCTGGATAAAAGAGGATAAATGGGAAAGTCAGCAAATACGGTTGGAAAAGGAAACCATGGGTTTTCCATTTATCCCAAAGCCAGTCCTCACGCGTATCATTTCACCCATGTTAATGACGATGCTATCCCACATTGATGTAACTGGTAAAAACGAATCTCAATTCTAAGGTTGCCTCCAAGGAAAATGAATCAGCCTGATGGCTTCGGAAAATAGCACATGGAACATGCGCTCAAAAACAAAGTAATTTAGTGATCTAACCAACCCAGTACTTTTCACAGTTCAATTTCTTTTGTCTGCACTCGAGTAGGCTGTTGAGTGTTGTACACCTAAGCAAAGTACCGTCTCTACTTTTGCACACTTTAATTAAAGTAAGCCTATCTTATTAGATAAGGCGTTAAGGTTTCAAACAGAAGTTCCTTGCACTACATGGTACCATACGCTTGAAATTAAGCAAAACTCGAGTGACAGGTCGTGTTGATGAACCGCTGGTGATTAGGTTGGAGCAAGACCGGGAAATTATTCTGACTGGTGCCAGAATATTGTCGGTCCGACTGATTTAACTACATGCGTGTTTTAAACACCGATGTCTTCCAAAAAATAAACCAGGATTGCAACTATAGAGCTGGTATATCTGAGCATCGCCATGCGTGATACCAGTTTAAATTGACTGTTAATAGGAGTTCCAATAGACTGCCTACTAGAAAATCTTCCCAAAGCTGATGAATGCTCTCTTTTTATCAACTAGAGTCTATCCTTAATCAAGTTATTATAGCTGACTTTTTCAGTAAGGACTTTATAAAACGAGCCACATATATATAAATGCCGTGCTACTAGAAAAAAGTGCGAGTGCGGTGATCACACTAACAATATTAATCCTATTATTGCGAAGATATTTTACCCATCCCATGGGTCTGCATACTGAGTGAAGTTACACTGGTTAAAAACAGCAAGGACAGATATAAGACTAATACCAGTAAAACTAATCTCAAAAAATCGGAGCAATCATTTCGCGCACATATCACCAACTTTTGACCAATTAAAAGGTAATTACCCCGTCAGCGATGTCTACCGTACAGTTGAGAGCAGGTTTTGTCGGTTATTTTTAATATGAAATTTCTAACCGCGCAATCTGGTACAATACTTTGCTTTTCTAAGAGAATCCAAAAGCAAACGCCTCCATCGACGAAGCGATTTTTGCATCAAATTAATCACAACCGAAATTTTAGGGGTGTTTGATCCGAACTATGTATAGGCGATGCACTTTCAAAGATTCTAAAGAAAAACTAGACAAACAATAATGAGTGATGATGACCTTTCGCCCAGAATTGCTTCATGGTATCCCGTTGATTGAAAAGGAAAACATTTTCAGCCGATCTATGAAAACTAGAAGAGGACTCAACGGACAGAGGAAAATGCGTACTGGCGTTTCATTTAGAGGGCCAATGCGACATCAGTAAGTCAAATGTGTGATGCAATAAATTCAGTAGTACATTTCTGTTGATTTCTTTTGCCCACAAGAGACGGTCTCTAAATTCGGAATTCGGTAAGCGTAAATGTTTCCAGTAGCCGTTTTAATTCATGAGTGACCACCGAAACGGTTAAATTTAAGCTGCTGAATCTCCGAATAAAGCTTTCATGGACCAAAATCATGGTCTGAGAATGCTCATTTTTGGCTCATTTTTGCTAAACGCGCTCATCAAGAGATAGATTGGTTTTGAAAAAATACTTTTTAGCTGGTTGTACCCGTCGATGATCCATTATATTGGAATTGTACAGAATCATTGTCTTCAGAAAGTGACTTTCCAACATCCCAAATCCTAAAAGGGTTGATTTTGCAGTGAATGAAATGATGACTGGTCCACTGTTAGGATCCTGATCGCATCCATGTTTCAACTACTGCTACTAACTCCGACTGGCACGTACGCAGATTATACGATGTATTTTGTTTCATTTTCTAAGTTATCCATCAAACAGTGCTGTTGTGAAGATTTTGATTCCAGAAACAAAGGGTGCCCGATATTTCTGATGATAGTCGCTGGTAACGTTTCTTCTGGCTGCCTGCGTTGTCCGTTGTATGCTGTTTACTGACTGTAACAAACTAAGTTAAGTTGTTTCACTACTTTCTTCGTGGAGAAGTATATATATATATGTACATATAACATATACCTTACCACTA